CATAAAACTTTTAAATTTAGATCATTTTTTAGAATTTAACTGCTTAACGACAGTTAAAAGAAAATATAAAGGGCATAAACCCAATTGCAATTAGGAATAAGTAGAAATAAGTAATATTACGTATGTATGTATAATAATTATAACTATTTGCTATTCTAAAATACTTAACAAGAAACTAAAAACTAAACTCCATAGATAGCATAGGTGCTTGAAAATTACGACTTAAATTAACAAACACACAAAAACAAGAAAATTATTGAAAATAATAAAATATATATGTTCAACAATTTACTAAACTATCCAGTACAATAATTTATGAATAGATATCAATATGGCAATTAGTAAGTATGATAGTTAACATGTACTTGAAATATTTGATGAGCCATTTGAAAAACTAATATGCCACGGCGATTGTTAATTGATATAAACCAAATGAAAACCTGATGAATGTTAATGATGATTTTTGATGAAAACAGCAATTTCTAAAAGTATTTGTATACATATTATATAACTATTACTAGAATATCGAAATACTTCGCTTACGGAATCTCAAGAATTAAATTGATTGAAGATGTAAGCATTCTGTATTTTATATACATATTTAAGCAATTAATAAAAGCTATCTCTGGCACGCTAATAAGCACTTGCATTCGACTATATATATAGATAGTGTCAAACGTTAATATAATTCCAAACAAAATAATTTGCATTTCAATGTGTTTACGTGCGCGGGCCACAGCAGCTGTTTTTGCATATCTTCCAAATACTTTTTAAAGTTTCGTTTAGGTGATTTTGGGTGATGGGTAATCCAAAACTTACCTCACTGATCAAAAATAGCGCCGTAAAGCAGAGTAATGCCAGGGATCCAAGTCGAAAATTTTTCAAAACTGAAGGCATTTTTACCAATATTTGTTGTTGTTTTTACTGTTTTTGAAGGTGTCTCCAATTGCCCAATCAATGGGCTGGCTTAGTATCGTTTTGTTGGGCTGAAAGTGTTGAATAGATGATATTGATATTGTAAGTGTTGGAAAGTGTTCACTAATTGACTTATACATTACTATTATAATAGCTCCAATTGTGCCCGAGTCGATTTACTTAAAGTTCACGTAACAAACTTTCTTCAACAGTTTTGTAACAATGTTCAACAATGGGGCTTGGAACTTCCAGGGTGAAAACGATTTTCGATTTTAAGTTCGTAATTAATTGTAATTTAAAAAACATTTGCAGTCGTTGCCGCAGTAGTAGTAGTTGTTGTTGTTGTTTTTGCTGCCAACAAGCGGCATAAATTGTTGCCATTTTATGGCTGGCAGAATTAGCAACGCATTTGCTGCGCCCCCGTTGCCCCTGTCTCTCCATGACCTCCACCTACAATTCAATTTGCAACCTTGCAGCTTCAGTCTACACACACAGCAAACACACACAGCACACACACACATATAGTGTGTGGCTTGTCGTGCTGTGTGGCAGTGCATCCAAAATGCAGTTTGTTGCCGCTTTCCAAGCTTTCCAAATATGCCAAGTTGAACTTTGAACTATTTGGGGGTTTTTTTTTTAATTTTGGAGTTGCTTTCCTTGAAGTCACATACATCGATCCATTTAAAAGCAATCTAGCTCTCAAAACTATAAATCTTCTTGAATTGCATTCGATACGAGTTTTCTGTTTCTGTTCTTAATCTTGATCTGATAAATAAATTGCTTAAGTGCTTCGAATCAATTTTAACATACTCGAACTATTCAGAGTCGATAAATTGTATGTATTTAGGTAATCAGAAGTGTTAAAGATATATATCTTTGTGTATTTTAATTTGGTTTCATGTTTCTTAAATATTTGCTGTGACATTTTGTTATTGGTAAAAATCAATTTCTTTGTTTAAGCATAATCCCACTGTTATTTTAACTTTAATTTTAACTTTTTTCGTGGTCTAAATGCGAATACATATAAAAATAGTCTTGCGATTTCTATAAATTTCTTTACACAAGATATTTTTTAAAAACGAGCATCTGGATAAGTTTATAAAACCATGAAAATAATCATCGACATTTTTTTCTCGATTTATCTGCTAGGTGCACTAATCAAACTAAAACAAACGATTACAATTTTTCTTTTTTTTCTTAACGATAATTTGTCGCGAGATTATACACTTTATTGTTTTGAAAGAAAACCCTAAAAGTATTAATTGAATTGGGGTTTTTAATTTGATTAGAGAGAAAATAATAATAAAAAATAATAACGGAAATCTTACTTATATGCTGAAATCGTATCTGAATGCAAATTGTTTAAGAACATTTCAATTTCTTGTTTTGAAATTATCTATATATTGAGTTGAAAAATATCTAATAATGTTTTTATAATATTCCTTACAAAATATCTGTCAATATCAAACGCATTTAAGAATAATATTCGTGTGAGTTGAATAATTTAGCTCTCAAAACAAAAAATCAGCTCAAAACATTTCTATTTTTTTGGCATTCCTGTGATCTATTGACAAGATCATTTTGTGCGTGTCGAAGACACAACAAGCTCCACAAGAAAAGCAATAAAAATTTGGTTGAGTTTTTGTTGTTTGTTTCTTGGATATTTTGTTTTTGGTATTTTCCTTGGTTTGACCTTTTTGACAAGAAACGGCAACTAGTAACAAAATATTTGCAACTTTATCCTCAGCTCGTGATGCTGGTTTCGATTTTTATTGCAGCTTTGTGCCTTGCAGCATAACAAGAAAAAAAAAAATAGAAAAACGAGCCAAACTCAAAGCCTATTTGACATTTTTGCCAGCAATTTCCACAGAAAGAGCATTTGCGAACCCGAAGATGCTCAGGCAACAACAGAAACAACAATAACAACAATTATACCAATTAGCTGGCATTACAGGTTGATTACGACGACTCTGGCATTTTTTTCTCTAATTGTTGAAGCCGGCAGAAGGAATTACGAGCAGCTTGCAACGGGCTGGGTCTGATCAGAGATGGATAGTTTATGGCTCACCTTCGTCTTTAAGTTAACGAACAAATTGCTGTGCTACACGTAGGTTTGTCTGTGAATAATATTCCATATGGTCTTGTTAAGTTCCACTAAACACACATCGCTGATCACGCGAATCGCCCGCTGATCGCTGATCTTTGCAAAGATCAAATGTCAGTTGCCAACCGATCGAATGTGGAAACAAAGTCAAGAGCACACGCGCCAAATTTGAGATTCAATCACGTTCAGTCGTTGCTGTTAAAGATCCATGGATCCACAAGATCCAACTGGCATAAATTATATATTTATTACAGCTTGCCATTAACACTTAATGCCTATCGACAATGCACAAATCCGGCGTTGCAATTGCAAATTGCACTTCAAACGACGCGCGTCAATATTTTATGTTTGCCGCTTCTATTTTGCTTGTATCTCAATCTTTGTATCTTTTTTGTCGTTGTTTTGCCGCTGCGTCAACCGCACCGCACGATGTCTCGCACAGAACTGATGCCTGTGAATGCATCCGACTTGGCTTAAAATTCACATTAGGCCGTTAGCAAAGTCCGCCCGCTAGACGCGACACAGAAGAAGCGCCAAACGATCGTCATCAACGCCGACGCACAGTGGCACAAATCGTCGAGATTTGCTTACAAATTTAAAATAGCTAATACTAACAGTTTCATGCAAGTATGTGTAGATTAATTTCATTCGAAAATCGAAATACATGCATTCATATTTCATATATAAATCTTGTGTTTGTATATATTTATATTGTTTTGTTCGATTTTACGTTCGACTTGACACATATTTGTTTAAATTGTTAACTAAGAAATTTATATAAACATTTATCTCATTTTACAGATACACAACAAAGAATCCCAAAATGTCTAAAATTCAATGTCATCCATCTTAAAAAGTTGCAATATTTTTAAATAATTTCAGGTCTTTGCTTTGTATTTGCTTTGAAATTGTTTTTTATATTACTTAAATAGATGCCCAAACTCTGTACTGAAAACTTTAATAAAAGTAATGAAATAAAAGTGAGTCTATTTAAGGCACTTATACAAATTAATTTAACCCTAAATAACTTTTTTTGGTAATAATTTTGTTGACAAAAAACACAATATGCGACCACGGTGCAGTAAACATCTTCGTTAATAGCCGAAGGCGAAGCTGCTGTAAAGATCGTCTAAACATAGCCGATGTGGGCAGCACAGCTCGAGCCCGAGTCGGAGCTACAGTAAGAGCTACATTTACAGACAAAGCCAGAGCCAGGGCCCAGAGAGTTGGGCAGTCAACAAAGCGTTAACATTACAGCTACAATTTCATTTTCATTTTCAATGTTTGGGATTCGGGTTATTAGCGTCGAGTATGCCACCGTTTAAGCGGGGTGGCCCTTCACCAAATGTTTATTTGTCTAATTTATTGGATCACCCCACAGTTGGCTAAATAGAGCGATCGAGAAGAGCAGCAGCAGCAGCAGCAGAAACCGCAGCTCGAGATCTAAGTCAGATTAGGCGGGGGATTACGAAAGGCAGCAACTATCTAGTGTTCGCTGCAAGCAACGTCTTGAGCGTTGGCGTCGTCTTTGTCGACGTCGACGTCGACGTCTTCAGTTTTCAGTTTTCAGTGAGTTTTGTAAGATGAGATTTCCATTTTCAATTCATGCCGTTTATTTACTTGTTTTGCCGCCTTTCAAAGCCCTTTGTCGTGCAGCGAAAAGCCAAAGAAAAAAATTGAGAACTGCAATGGTTAATGCCATAAAGATGTGGAGTGGGGTGGGGGGATCAACTGGGGTTGCTTGCTACGTTGTTTGGTTGTTTGCTGGTTCGGTGTTGCCTCATTGCATTTCTAGGTTCATATATTCATATGGCGGCATCAGCAGCAGCATTTATTATTTGGGTTTTTGTGCTCGGGTCGTGACGCTGCGGCTGGGCAGGAAGTTGTGAATACTCTGTCGGGGCGTGGGGCGAGGGGCGAGCGGCGAGTAATCAAGAGATCCAAAAGAAAAAGACATTAAAAAAGAAAGAAATCACTGCAATTGAATGAATTAAATGCGTGTTGTTATTTAACAAACAAACGGTACAACGGTACGTATACATAACATAAAATTTTGTGACGTTCTGTGCTAGAAAAGCAGTTGATGTTAATGAAAATTAAACTTAACACGTTAAACATTGGGTTGTTGTTTGATTTGCTGTGACCGCATGGCCAACGAGTGTTGCTGGAAATCGGCCAAAATGCGGCTCTCTGGTATGTCCGTCTCCACACGACTGCCTACAATATCAATGTCATTCTCGTTCTTATCAAAGAAGATGTCAATTATGATGCGTACGCCTAAAAGTTGCATTTCGGAAGATGAAAAGACAAAGAATGCAGCTTAGTCCATGAATCGTGCATTCTTTATTGAGGCATATACGTACCCTGTTCGGTGCGTCTTATGGTTGTCTTGCTCTGATACGATTTCTCAACGGAATTACCACCCGCCGCATCCGCCTGCAGCGATTGTCGCAGCGAAGTCTGATCATCAGCTGTGGTCACACGAAAGTTGCCCGGTTTCTTATTGTGTAGACGGCTGTTAAGGGCTTGTTGATGAAAATTCCAAAGTAGATTCGAGTGCATAATCGTATTCCTACCTGCTGCTGGCCTGACCATCCATAGCTGGCATTTTGAGGCATATGCCGTCGCAGCATTCCTGCTCCTGTGGCTGTGTCAGCTCCATATCGCTTAGCTCCATTGGTGCGCCCTTCATGTTGCCACCGAAATAGATGGATTTGGCATGCGCCAATTCCTGATTCTTTTGCGTGGCAAAATTATAAAGATTTATCATGTCGCGGACGCGTATAGGCGGCTCTTCCCGCACTGGAGCTAGCGTTTCCGGCTGTGCACTCGGTTGGGCGACTTCGGAATAGCTACTGCTGCAGTTTTCATCCTCATAGCTCTGATTGCAACTCGTGCCCGTCTTGATCTCGTTGCTATTCATATTAAATATAAAAGAAATTTTTTGAACTTTTTATGTAAAGTTTTTCTTTCAAATGTGAGAACTAAAACAGCTACAACAAATCTAGATTGTGAGTGAATGCTATGCACAGATTTCTGCTAAATATACTTTTGTTCTCAACGGCTGCTGAGTTTCTATTACATTGGAATGAATTCTGTATCATGATAAGATGTGTGATCTCTGTGTGGTCGGTCTGAAAAATGCAGCAAGCACTTAAGAAATACATATTATCAAATTTGTCTCTTTTTCAATTAGTTTTCAATTCATTTATAACGAATTTCTATTTAAGTATTTAAGGGGAAGTATATGTTCCTTGTGTATGTTGGATAAGCCTGTTTATTTTTTCTCTGTTATATTCATAGCTTTATCTGTACTATACTGAGTCCCTGTTGCCGTCTACTGGCTGCTGTAAAGCTAGGTCATTCAAATATTATTCAGAAGCTACAATTTAAAGAAAACAAAAGAAAAATTCCATTGTAATGGGTAATTGTATTAGGTACTCTTGGTTGGGGGCCCATCTTCAGTTCGTTAACAATTACAAACAATAAACAAATGTAAATGTAATTCATATTTGAATTGAATTTACAGCTTGACCTTCGCTGTGGCAATCAAAATCGAAACTCGAAAACGAAATCGAACCGCATCGACTTTTGGTGGTTATTAGTGAAATTCGAAACGTACTGTGAATGCCGCAATGTGTTGAATTGTCTTAGCGCGGATTAAGTGGAACTGGATGCCTACATACTCATAAGTAGATAGAAGATACATACATACTATACTCTTGTGCGTACTCTTGTACGAGCTAATATCTTTTGAAATTGGGTGAGCGATGACTTGCAGCAGCCGCAGCTTCATCATCATCATCATCAGCAGCAGCAGCAGCCACAGCCTTAGCGCCAGCTCCATTTGGCACATGCTCCCAAAAAGCCGCTGTTAAGGTCAAGTAATTGCAAGCGACATGTGACGATTTCATTTTGGGCAGCATCAGTTCAGATTTGCTATCTGATTCGCTTGAGCCAAGCCAAGGCTAGAAAACACACAAAATATTAATGACTATTTCAGGATATAAAACTTTCATCTGATTGTCAAAATCATTTCTTGTGCACTCATAAATACATTATTTTTGTGTTCCGCATATACTTTTTTAACTAACAGTTACTTATGTTCCTTAACGTATTGGTGCCGTAGAAAAGCATATATGGACCCAAAACTATTCATAAGATGCAGTAGTAGGTACTAATATCTGTGATACAGAAATAGTTTTGAAGTTCTGAATTTGTATGTTAGACACAAAAGCATTTTGAAGGAACGAAATCCTGAAAATGCAAATGTATCATTAAGATACAATATTATCATTGAGATACTGATCAATGGTTGTTTCATGAAATAGAAGCATATTAAAGAAAGATAAGCATCTTTATTCAAAAAAGTATATTTTAAATCAAAATGTATCTAATAGACACAAACGCATTTTGAAGAAAAGTGAAATAAAGGTATAAAATATATGAAAGTATCTCTTCGAAATAAAAGCATCAGCATCTATAATAAATATGAAAATACCAACTCAGTGTCTTGTATTTAATTATTCGCTTCCATACAACAAATTTTTGACATATTCCTCATAAGCAGTTGGATAATAGTAATTCAAAAAAAAATCATGTGAATGCCAAATTTTGGTTCTTACATATCACAAGTTTGCTCTGCACTTGTTGGATGCGCATCTTTTGGCAATTAGCGGCGATGTCAACGGGTTCAATGGAAATCAAGAGAAGGTGTGGGGCCTACAGCTACAATACGAGAAATACTCATTGAAACAGAATGTTGCTCCCAAGTTTTCGTATAGACCACATACCCAAACATGCCGGCGAGGTGTGTCATCGACATCTCTCAGTTCTTGTTGCTCTCACGGGGGCGGGTAGGGGTATTAAAGGCGTGTGATTCTATCGAAGGCCACAAGCACAGTAACAACAACAATAACAATAACAGAAAAACAACAACGAAGCATGCTGGAGAAGTGTCTGCTTGACTAAAAGATACTCTGTAGCTACTTGACTTTTCATTCTTAAATAATTTTCTTGTTCACAATGCGATCTTTAGCGACAGGCCTAGGCCTTTACTAGTATAGAATAATTGCAAACTAAATGTCATGTTTTTAGCTCTTATATTTCCAGGGATTGGATAGATAGATAAGCTTGCGTTACTTAATGAAAGTAAATAATGAAGAGGATTTAAGCTCATACTTTATATGGAACAGACGTATTTGCTGCTGGCTCTTACATATCTCAGCATTAGGTCATAATACCCATTTTGTTTTGGGAATTCCTTGATTACAGAGTATTAGAACAAAATACCATTGTTGTTTGCCATTTATGTTAGCTCATTTGTTCTGCTTCTTTCTTGTTCGTACCCAATGGGCAACATACATATGTTTAATTGCTAAATTGGTGCAATTCGGCATAATTCATGTTGATGGCTGAAGTCTTGTTTTTGAGTTTCGCAAGGTCTCATTGAAATAGCCCAACAACAACAACAATAAACACAGATTCGCACGTTGATTAAAAATTATTTAAAGCGTCACAAAGCCGCGGGCAACTTACAACAGCTGGTCATGAGCATGAAAAATGAAAGTACTTATAGAGTAGCTAAGAGATGGCGGCATTTAATTTCAGTTTTTGGCTTAGGCCCGATGCCCATTTATCATTGATAACAGTTAACAGCCAACAGTTAACAGTTAACAGTTACCAACTACCAGTTAGCAGCAGTTAGCACACTGTCAATTATTGCGTATACGCCACCGTCAAGCGACAAAGGGCAGGAATTGAATAGCGCACATAATGAATAACGACTAACGAATAACGTGTGTAATGAGGTGTTCACAATTGTCTGGTTATTACGACTATGTCTAGTTAATAGTAAAATAAGCGTACACTGAGAATTTTCAAACGTAGCTATGAAATGAACAATCAACATCTAGAGAAGATGATATTTAAAAAAAGCGAAAATGCTTCGGAAAAATAGGAAATCAGGAAATTTAATTGATTTTAAATCATTTTATATTGCATTATTGTTATTTGGAACAGTGCTTAACGGTATCTTATTTTACTTTTATATTTCATAATTTAGACTGATAAAAATACTTCTGAAATGACAAAAAATTCTACAATAAGCTGAAGTTTTCTATGGCTACAATTTTAAATTTAATAATCAATTTTTTCTTAAGATTCAGCAAACTGTTTGCCCTGACTGACTGACTGATTGGTGATCAACGCACAGCCCATTCCGTAAGAGCTACTCTAGTTACTATATGTAATAAGGCTGCACATTAAGACGGTGTTTGAGAAAATTCCACCCGCAGGTGTTCAAAACTCGCGAACAACGTTTGTATGGAACTTTTTTGTTTACCATCCGATCGGCCTCAAACTTATTTTCAAAGACCATTTTTTAAATTCATTTGAGGGGTGTTTGAGACTTTTCGAAAAATGCATTCCTCCGTTGTGGAAATGGGGGTCTAAGATTTGGTAGGTGACGTTTCGCGCTCAGATTCATTTCCAAAGATCTATATGAAAAATCAGTTGAGACGCGATTCATACTTTTTGCAGAATCCAAGCTTCCTCGGTAGAAATGCGATGCTCCGATTTTTTGGGCGAAGTTATAAGTTTTTTCCGATTTGCTTTAAATTTATTTTCAAAGCTCTACATAAATACTCAATGAATACGTGTGTTAGCGATTTGTCAAATTCCACCCGCAAACAGTGGCAAATTGGCGGAAAACGGTTTTATGAAAGTTTTTTGTTTACCGATCAGTGTCAAAATCATTTTTAAAGCTTCTTGAGAACATTTATTTTATACGTGCCACGGGCAAGGCCGACCTATAACCGCTAGTATATTATATAATTTGATCAAATTTGCTCTTTAGTGTATATTATGAGAATAATTAGGAAACTCTTGTCTTGACTGGGGCTTGATAGGCCGCATGCGGCCAAAGTCCAAATTATAATTTCGGTCTTACTTGATTTCTAGCGCTTGAAAGATTTATAGTAGCTTTAATTCTTTAAACTCAATTGTATTCAATTACATTTTAAGTTTATTTATTTAATATTTATTATATATTTTGAAAATGCTTGATGATTTGTTTAAGTGTACAATTGTTAAATAGGTCTTACGCGCAGGGGAAGTCAAAAGTCAAATAAACATAGAGCTAGCTATGTAAACACCTTCGCCTTTGGCAGTTGCAAGTCGCTATTCAAGTCCAAGTTCGATGCGAGCGGCTTAGCCGCGCATCCGGTCACATCGCGAGCGACTTTAAGTGGCAATTTTTCTAACTGGTGTGCTACAAATTTGTCAAACTAACAATGCTGCAAGGTCAGCAGCGGCAGCGGCAGCAGCTGCTGAGCCGCTGAGCCGCTGAATAATGATCACAGGCAACGTGCCCAATGCCCCATGCCCCATGCCCCATGCCTCACACCGTCGCATGCGGTCAGCTTTCGCGTATATTATTGACCTTAAGTGATGATATGAAGTGACGTGCCGGGCAATATGAAAAGCACTGAATAAGCCAAGATTATCACCTTTGGATTCATTTATTGCACTTACTGACAATTTGTGAGCACTGCAGAAATCTTCAGCTCCAGTTGCCGCTCTATAGACCTACATAGACGTTGCGGCCGATGGCACAAAATGTGTGCAACACGACTATTAAAGGTCAAGAAATGGAAAGCGAACAATGTTAAGTAAATCAAATGAATAAACAAATAAATAAAACAGGCCGCGCACTTTGTTAATTGTTGTATATTAGAAAATGGTTCAAACGAAAGACTCAAGACACGAACTGAGCGCCAGACAATGGCACAGGGCAACAAAAAAGCGCAATGTTTGTCTACCCTCGAGTCAGGTATTATGGCTTTTGTCATCAGGTTTGCCACGCCACATAAAATTAGACATCCTCTTAACAACAAATAAATAAAATAAAACAAAACTCGCACACAATTATTTGGCTTTTATTATCTATGCGTAGCATAACGAATAGCTATTGTCTTTTGTATAAATAAGTATTAAGGCGTAGTCTATGAAATAAGCTGATTTTTAGACAATGTTAACTATTTTGAATTGTTAATCAATATGTGTGTGCACATCTTGTGGGAGTCGCGCACATGTTCTGAAATGACAAAAAGCCTGTTAGACCCATTGTCTGGCCGGGGTTTTTTTTGCCAATCAACTTGACCTTGGCCACTTGGCAATGAAGCCAGGAGCAAGTGCGCCGCTTGTTTCTTAGGCCCAGCAGGCATCTTGTGTATGTATATACGTGTAGCCCCAGCAAGTGGCTCGACTTCAGGCACCGCCACTTGAACAATGAAGCCATCAAACTAGACAATATCTGTTCAATGCTAATGTTGAACCCACAAAATATTTTGGCCGAATGATGTATTGCATATAGAAATTAGAGTACTTGATTAATTGCGCTGCTTTCAGCTGTGGTACATATTAAAAGTAGGTATATAATCATACATACGTGTGTACACGAAAATAAGTGTACGCATTGTGTACTTGGATTAATGATGAGCGCCGCTTGTCTATAGCAAACATTTAGTGCTGAACAATATCTTAACCCACATACGATTGCTGTCTAGGTGCGCTTCCATTGTGGCGTCCATCGCTTGATTAAACCTTTATAAACAAGACTTCAAGCAGCGCCATCAATTGTGGTGCGTTTTTCTATTATCTGATGCGGTGGCGTTTAGGCGTTTACGAGAAAAAACATAAAATATTTATAGTACATAGTATATTGTTAGGTGTCAATCAAGGCATCTTGTGTGTTGTCAATTAATGCAGCAAAGTCACCAATTAAGCTGCAGCATAATGCAGGCTGCTGCTTGTGGCTTGCGGTTGCATTGCCCATGAAAACAACAAACGAAAAAGATAAAACGCTACTGCAGCTGGGCTGATTTTACAAAAAACAATATTTTCTGGCATGTAAATCAGTTGTTGCAGCTCCGTTTTCTGCAGCTGCTATGAAAAGCCAAACATATTTTAGAAAGCTGCCAACATCAAATGAGTGCTGTCAAGCAAATAAGTTAATTTAAATGCGCGCGCCTATGCGATATATCGATACACGTTAGCGATAAATTACTCGTAATGGATCGGCATTGCCCAGTGTTGTTAATCACGCGACAGTGTTAGGTAAGACAGCGAACTTATGCAGCCCTAGCGAGTATTTAGTTTCGTGAATCTGTGTAAGAAATATTTGCGGCAGATTTGAATTTATAAAATTATTAATTCTGTTTGAAGGAAAAATCGAGAGTTTGAAGGAGTTACAGCAATAAAATGTAGCTGCCAACTAATGCATATTAACAACAATAAACATACAAATATTAAAGGGTATAGAAAAACAAACACTGCGTTTAGGTATTTTCGATTGAATATTTTCTAGTTTTATTTCGCTCTGATTGTTTACGAGTATATGACTTGGATTTCCAATAGTTTTTGTTAAGTAAATTGTTTAATATTTATTGAATTAGGCTCGTAAATTACATTGACAACTTGGGCGCGAGTTAAAATTATTTTACAACTGCATTTAATAATATTAGTTTTGGAATAAAATTTCGATTAGCAAATATTATTGCTGCCTTAACTCACGGCCATCAAATTGAAATGTACAATTTAAGTATTTTGAATAATTGTTTTATTTATATATTATGTACGTATGTATAGTAAATGTTTTTTGCGGGCGACTAGAAATTCAAGAAATCTTTTAACTATACAAACACGCTCTCGGATTACATGCTAAACGATAGGAATCATGAAAATTACATTTACTTGCATTCGTTTTGTTTTAACATCTATTTGAATTTAAATTTAAATTATTAATTATTATTAATACAAGCATTTCGATATATGTATGTATTCAATTATGTTTAATCTTACGACTACTTAAGCAATTAATTGCAATTCTATTTATGTGGTTTTTCATTTCTTCTTCTATTCAATGCCGTCATACAAGTGCCTGACAAAAATGTAACTAAAAATTTGGCGCAACTATCCGAAACCAAGAATTAGGTTCGGTTCACATGCTACAATTAGTCGATATTTGTATTTTTATATTAGAAATAAGAATCTTTGGTTGTAACTACAACTGAAGCTGAATAATATTAGTTTATGTACTTTGGGCAGGCGTTAAATGTATTTGCCATAATTTCGTTCGATTTTGCAATTAACGGAAATAATGGGAATTAGGGATACGGTTCAAATTGCCTGCCTAGTGTTAAATACATGTACAAATGTTTATATAAATTATCACAGTAAAATAAATAGAAATATATTTTTCGTAAATATTGTTGTGTTGCTCAGGATTAACTTAAGAGACGCCTCACTGAATTGGTTTAAAACATTTGCTTTTTAAATAATACTATTACATTGAGATTATTTTTCGACGTAGAGCCTTGCTATAAATGTATTCGTTCCATAATGTACCTTTAAGCTTTAATGGTCTGTATACAAAGGGACAAGGCATGATTATGTAGAAAGTTAGACTAAAGTGGAGGTAGATAAATGTAGTTCATGGGGACATCTATGTAGTTGGAATGGGTTTGGTATGAGCTTAGGGATCGATAAATATCGGTTATTAGGGACCATGAAATCTGTTTTACCAGCCGCCCCTCGATGTTTTTTAATTCGTTACTCTTGCGACGAGTCTCTTGCTAAATTATAAATCTCTCCCAATCATGGAGCTCATTTAGCTGATCAATTAATTACATTTTATTTGAAATGGAATAAGTGACCCTTTTCGTCAATAAAACAGCGAGCACAAGGAGTCTCTCTCTACATTAATAAAACAACGAGTATCCGTACGATCTCTCGTTGCGTTCGAAAAGCAATGAGTTTCCACTCATAGTAGTGGTTGGCTCGTCTCATTTACGTCTCAACGAGTAGCTCATTCTTGAACTTACAGATTCAAGAATGCCTCGCTTTGGTGACGAGTGGCTACCTTAGCTAACTAAGCAACGAAAGGTAGCGAGTTGCTTTTAAGAAGCAACGAGTGTCTGCTCGTAACGTTAACTTATTCATTTCGAATACATTCAAGCACGGCTCTTTCATTGAAGCTATTAAATTTATACCTATGAACTGCTCTGATGCATTTCTGTTCTTCTGGTGTGCTCTTAATGTTTGTGTTTGTGGGTGTTTGTGTTGAGATTATGGAAGATACGATAGTCATAGTCCACATTTTGGCAAAACTGTTGAACATGGTTTCTGTGTGTGTATGTGACTGTGTGTGTGTGTGTGAGTGTGTGTGTCTGTGTCTGTGTCTGAGTGTGTATGTGATCTACTGTTGTCTACTGGTTCAGCAGCGTGTTGGTCACCTCCGAGAAGGAGAGCAGCGGACTGCCATCGATATAGGCGCCAGACGGCGGCGGGGCATAGGCGAGAGCCGTGTGCGCCGTTATGTTGGCCGGATAGAGCAGATGCTGTGCGTGATGTTGCTGGTAATTTGGCTGTTGCTGTTGTTGCTGTTGCTGCTGTTGCTGCTGTTGCTGTTGCTGCTGATGTTGCTGCTGTTGCAGCTTGGCTGATTTGCGTGCGCCACGTGCCGCGCTGCTCGAGGTGGAGCTGATGTGCGCCTCGCTGCTGCCGTTGCTGCTGCTGTTGAGCGCCTGCAGCGATTCATCCGCGCCAATGATGAGCGGCGGCGGCGGGGGCGGCGGCACTGATGCTGTTGCCGCTGCTGAGGAGACAATTGCCAGCTGCTGATAGGGCGAGGAATCGGCTGAAGTAGCACCACTCAGCAGGCTGCTCACAGCGGGCAGCGTGGGCGGTGTGCGGCAATGGGGCGGCGAGTCCAGCGGATGGTGGTGCAGCGTGTAGCCAACGAGCTGTTGTTGTTGTTGCTGCAGATGTTGTTGCTGCTGCTGCAGTTGGGCGTTGATTAGGATCTAAGTAGGGGGAGTAGCGTTTAGGTTTAGTTAGTCTGGCAGTAGCACTCAGTGGTGCGCTAGGTGTGTGAGGGTGTGTGTGTGTGTGTGTGTGTGTGTGGGTGGTTTGATTGGTGCGTCTACGGTGCGTTCTAGTTGTATATTTTTTGTAGCTAGCTTTCTAGCGGCTTGCCGTGTGCTGGCCGTGGTGATGGTGGTGGTGCAGATGGTGATGTGCCGCGCCTGGCGTGGACGCAGCCGCTGCGTGATGGTGGTGCGGATGGTGGTGATGGTGATGGTGGTGATAGGCTAAATACTGCGAGTACTGCGTGTAGCTGGCGGGCGACCATACCTCGCTGCCATTGGCGGTGCCGGCCGACGCCTGCGGATGCGGATGCAAATGATGCGCAGCAGCGGCTGCATTGGCCTCATGGTGGTGCTGATGATGTGGATGGGGATGTGGTTGTGGCTGATGCTGGTGATGGTGCTGCTGCTGATGCTGCTGTTGCTGCTGCGTGTGAGGATGAGCGTGAAGGCTGTGTGGCTGCTGTTGTTGTTGCTGTTGCTGCTGCTGCTGTGGTTGCTGAAGGCTCCCAGCGCAGCTGGGCGGCTGTGGGTGTGGCTGCTGCTGCTGCGCATGCGGATGAGCATGGCTGGGCTGCAACGTTGGGTGCTCAGTGCCGCTGACTGGGTGCGTTATGGAATTGCTGGAGCTGCTAACATTGGAGCCGAGGCCACGAGAAGAATGTGGCTGTTGTTGCTGCTGTTGTTGCTGGGGCGAAGTGGTGTGCGAAGAGGCCGAGTAGAGGCCGGAGTCGTCATGCTGCAGCTGATAGCTCTCGGGGGTGCCGGCGCTGGTTGACTTTCCTGTCAACTCCTTGTTACCATTCCACTTGGCTGCCGCGGCGGGCTCGTGCTCATTGTTGTTGTTGTGCGCATAGCTCAGCCCGTTGGCGAGGGGTGTGGTGCGTTGGGGTGAGCCGCCAGCGCGGGCTGTAATGCGACTGTTAAGCGGCACACCGCTCGACTGTGTTGTGCCCCACATGAGCACCGTCTGACGCTCATAGGGATCCTGGCCGGCGGCTGCCGTTGCCGCAGCCAGTTCCACTTTGGACGTAACGTTGCTGCCATTGGGCGTGGCACCGGCTCCGGCACCGGCAACGGCAACAGGCGAGGGGCCATCCGAGGAGCAAGAGATGACTTCCATTACCTGCGGCGAGGATTTTGGCGTCTTAAGGGGTATCTGCTGCGGGGTTGGACAGACAGATAAGCTTAGAGGTTAGCCGAAAGCTTGCCAATCTCCCAAAGACTCACCTGTGGCGTGGACGTAGGACTGCCGTAGCCGCTGCTGTAGCCGCTGTAGTATTTGCCCGTCTCTTGCCACTTCTCGTCTTGCGCCTTGGAGGCAATGGCATAGCCATCATACGAGAGAAATCCATTGGCCACATACGCCGAGGCGGGTCCACCCGTGTGCGGGTAATCCGTATAGTAGCCGCCGACGCCAACTGCGCCCTGCAGCCGGTACTGATGGAAGAGATTCTCGCTGACCGGATAGAAAGCATTGGCCGGCATGGAGCTGCCCATGTACAGATTGTCCGCAGCGGTGGCATACGGCGATGTTGTGTACATGGGATTCAGATTGGAGTAGGCGGCGGCCACAGCAGCCGCCGGATCGGGCAGGTATTCGACGACCGCCGGCGCCGGCGAACCGACCTGAGCCAGCGGCGAGGATTGCTGTGCCTGCAGCTGTTGTTGCTGCTGCTGCTGCTGCAGCTTGCGCTTGCTGCGGCACGTGGACAAAAAGTCGCGTAACTGCGTTTTGTAGCGGCGATTGGGTCTCGTGGGCGTTACCGGCGGCGGCAGCGCGTGCGCTGTGGGCGAGACACTGGCGCTGGTCGGCGGCACGACCAGCTGATCTGCTTCAGAGAAATATGTGGAGGCCAGGCCAGTGTCCAGATAGCTGACCTTAAAGTCCATTGTGCGCTTGCCGAGCAAATCATGACCCTCCTCATCCATTAGCTGACGATGCGTGCAGATGACAAAGTCCGGCTTAGAGTTCTTATAAACAAGTCGGGAGCTGGTCTGCAGCCACTGCCACTCGCCGTCCTTCTTCTGATAGCGATAGGCGATCATGCCCGAGGCGCCGGTCTTTAACACTGCAAAACGATGAGATTAAGAGGAATTAGGCGAGAAATTCCTCTGGTTTGATCTGCACTACTTACGCTCCTGGTGGGCGCTCGCCACGTAGGCCAAGTCATCGTAGTGGACGAGATCGTAGCCACCCATGTTGACCAGCTCGGCATCCGCATAGCCCAGTATGTGTTTTCCCCGCTGATCCATGGAGACGAGAGAAAAGTCCAGTTTGTGCTTGGACTTGAACATGTTCTCCTTGTGCGGTATCTCCAGCAAGCTGGGCGGTCCAAATGGCGTGCAGTAGGCGAACAGCGCCAGAGGCGGTTCCTCCGTCTTGCGATTCTGGCCGTGCAGAATCTTAATGCGGCCGCGTATGTCCAATCGCAGGAAGCCGGATGTGTTGTCCAGCAGGCAGCGGAAGCGCACCGTAAAGCTGCGGTCCAAATAGAGCGCCTTATCGGGCGCCAGGGTCTCCGACAGCTGCATGCTGGACATGTCCGCGGGCAAAAAGCTGTTCCACAGCAGCTGGCGCTGCAGCTCCTCGCGATCCTCCGAGTGGACCAACTCGTAAACCGACTGATGCACAATGTCCGACTGCAAGGAAGAGAGACAGATTTGGTGTTCGGGTCAGCTCAGGGTTAACTCTTCTCTTCTTGGGTTCAGTCAACTTTATTATTGATTTTCGCTTTCGCTACAGTTTCGGGTCTTACGTTTATTTTTTTGGGGCGTATAAATCAAAATGCGCACAAATTGAAAATGCGCCCCATGTTGGCCACAAATTGAGACATAAATTCTGCACGCGCCGGGAACAGACAAGATACGCACAAGATCGAGGGGACAGCTATGCGAATACAGCATTTGCCAGAGACGGGCGCGTGGTGATACTTACTTTGAGCACAACACTACACAAACACGAACTTAAAGCAAGCACTATTAAAATTGATGAGCCGTTTTAGTGTTGTGTTGGGTCATGTTTAGGTCGAATTGAGTCGTGACAATGTTGTCTAAGCTCGTGCTGAGATCCTCTTAATATTTACTTGCAGCACGACACAACACCAACACGAACTTAAACAGGCACGATTGAATACGTTGAACCGTTCTAGGGAGGTGTTGGGTCATGTTTAGGACGAGTTGATTCGTGAAAAGGCTGTATACATGCGTCAAATGTCTTGCTGGATTTATGTTGAGGTCGTGTTAGCTCTCATTAAGTTGTGATAAGATCGTATTGGTCACGTTTGGTTGTCTCAAATTGTGTTTGTGGTAGCGTGTTATCGACTCGAAAAAAATTATTCGTGTTAGACCGAGTAAAGTCAAGCTCAAGTCCTCCTAAGTCATGTCAAGGTTGTATAGACTAATTAAATAGTCGTGCTATGATCTGTTTTAAGATTGAATTGGTAATGTTCACGCCGTTCTGGCTCCTGTAAGTCGTGCACACTTTTGGGATCGTGTTAAGTTATTTCGAATCGTGTAAGATCGTGTCACTCTGTTCTAGCTCGTGATATATCTATCCGTTTTAATGTTGCTTTGCACAGTTCGGCAGTTGAAAAGGTTGAGGTTGCATCTCGAAAGAAAACACGAATAGCACGCACCCACCACTAGCGCATATCCCACATACAAAAAAGGAACTGGAGGAATTAAGAGGCAGCGCTTACAGCGCCTCGCAAAACTTTCTACATACGTAAAACCAACAAAGCAAATGATTTGACCGCAATCTCAATTGGAATATACTTGAATGTGCTCGAATAAGACCAAGAATAAGCAATCCGATGGCCAATGGCCATGGTAATAGGCAGCTACGTTTTTTAATTGAGCTGCCAAACGGGGCGTGTCAAGTGCCGCTTTACACATTTACAACTAAATTAAAATGAGAAGACCAGACGAGAGGGACGAGCAGGGAGCAGGGCAGAGGCCTCTCTATAAGCCTGAAGAAAGCTAACTGCAATTTTCAATTTCCATTCGACAAGCGCCAATACAATAAAGTAGGCAAAAAACAAAAAATAAATAAAAAAAACAGAAATACAAACAGGGCAGGATGGAGCAGGGAGGGGCATCGCGGTGGCACAGGCACAGGTAGTGGCAGCCACTGGCTCCTCGAGTTAGGCCCAAAACATGTTGCTCCGTTTGGGGGCAGTTGGTCGCACAGCTGCCGAGGCGTCGCAAGTTAATAATACCACAGCTCAACAATGCCACGCCCTGCGCCAGAGTACTCCTGCCCTGTCCTGTCCTGCTCCGCCTGCCCTGCTCAGCCCGACGCCTTTGACAGCTGCGTAAGCAAATCTTGTGGCATTCGCGATTGCGCAATCCTCACGCTGATCTGATTTTTATTTATGGCCACAGAACCTGCCACGCAACGCACCGTGCCGTGCCGTGCCGCCTGCCTGGAATCGGTGGCATCTGCTGTGTGGCACCTTCATAATTTTATTTGCTTTTTTACACATTTTTTCGGAAGGCTAAAAAGGGTATATTTAGTTTGTTCTTGAAACCCAAATTTTGTTTAGATACCAATTAAGCTGGCGTGAAATTTTTGGATGGGCAAATCCGGCTATAGTGATTAACTAAAACCATATATTTGGATAATGCTGGAGAGATATGCCTATTTAAGCTCGTGAAACTCAATAGAATAGATGGGAATCAAATATTGTATATATTCTCCTGATCCGTTCGAGTACAAAAAGGTACATCCTATGAAGATCTGCATTTAGCTATGTTGGTGTCCCTATATAAGGATTACATAAGTTCTAAATGTTCGAAAAGTCTACGTTCTCTTCCGTCCAATTGTTATCGCTCATTACATTGTGATGCCTTGCATATTCTTCCTTGAAATAATATAATATTTGATTGTAATATTATCTAGCTCCCAGTCATGCAAGTATTCTTTGTAACTAGTTTTTAAAGGCTTTGGGTATGGATAGGTGTTGACCCGAACCGTTAGAGTTGGTTCGATAGCTGATTTTGGCTGCGCTGTACTTTGGCCCATTTCCGCAATGAGCTTGACCCAAAAAAAAAAGAAGAAGGCAACACATGGTATCATTCATAGAAACTCCCGACTGGCTGCAGGCAATTAAAATCAATCAAAAACAAGAAGCGCCCAACCCCCGAGAGGCCGTTGTTGCTGTTGTCCACTTACCTGATGAAAACCCAAATAGCTCTCGATGCTGTGCGTGGCGAAGAAGACTTCGCCTTCGCATGTCAGTATCATTAGAAATCCATTTAGAGCCTGCAAGAACAAAAGAGAAAAGGAAAAATTGTATGTGTGCGTGTAAGAGAGAGAAAGAGAGAGAGAGAGAGAGAAACACAAAAATTAAATCAAAACTACGAATTAAATGTTGCTTGGGGGGAAGGGTGGGGGGTACAAAGCTGTCCAATTGACAAGCTAAAGATTACAGCCAGAAAATCGATAGAAAGACAGCAAATAAGAGAGAGGGAGGGATGCAGAGAGGGGCGGGGCGGGTATAGAGAGCGACAAGGGGCTGATACGTCTCGTAATTGTAGTAGCTGCCGGTTTTTTGAATGGATTAATCCATCATTTCGCGGTCTAGATATAGCCTCAAAAACCTATGAATGAACCACAGCGGCAGTCAGAGAGACGGACAGCGAGACAGAGAGGGAGAAACGAGGGTCAAAGACAGCGGCGCTAACTTGAGGCTAAAACGTAATCAGGGCTTAAGCGGGCTCATTTCATTGGAGCCACAGAGACAGAGACAAAGACAGACGGGTAAAGCGACAGGTAGGGGACGGAACACGGGGAACGGGGGACTTTGAAGTTCCACATCAAATTCAACCAGGAAATGATGCGCAATTAAATCAATGAGTTTCAACTAAATGCAGACTCTGACGCCGAGGTCCGGTACCAGCATTTGTTTCACCTCACAAAAATATTTAAGTATAGCCCATTCCCTCATGTATTTCCTCTCCCTCTCGCCTGCTCAGTAATTGTTGTTCTTGTTTAATTGCAGGTTTCATTTCGAGCAGTGCTGCATTGTAATTATCTATAGATTGTTTGTTAAGCAAAAAAAAATATATATCATTTGGAGGTTAGGTGTGAATAAACCTAACCTCAAAATGCAAAAATGTATACTTGTCGAAAAAACAAATATTTTGATTTAATTTTTTTACTTTTTACTTTTCAGTTAGTTGTGAGCTTATTGTTTTATATTTGATTTTTATAAGCTGCTAATGGGCGCTACGCATGCAATATTTTAATATAAAATATGACTTTGAGTGCATAACGGTAAAGTGTGACATTCAAAATGGCGTCGCACAGTGGAGCCCGCTTAATTTTTTTCCCTGTGAAAATCAATTATAAAGAATCATGACAGGTTTGGAATGCATTCCGTTCAATATATTTCAAATTCATTTCGCCCTTTAAAACTAGGTGTTTGTTTTAGAAAAAATGCGAAAGAAATTATCAAATACTATTCGTTATTGTGTTCAGATTAGATTATTTTAGTCCCTATACCTCCGGTTCTAAGCATCCTTTTTTTCTAGACAGAAATGCGAAGGTTTAATATTAAAGTTTATTTTGAATGTTTTCTAATTATTATTTTGTCACACTTGCTTGTCCCAAATCTTTAAAAGCGTTGCTGCAACGTGTGTGTGTGCCACATGCGGCATTGAGAAGACAAATTTGCTATGGCTCTCATTAGAGCTGTGGGGACGGTGCGGTGTTAATTAATAAAGAAAAAGAGATACCGAAACTGCAACTGTAATTAATATGAGCGTATTTAAATATCAATTTGCAACAGAGGCAAGGACGAGGAGCGGTAACAACAGCAGCAGCAGCAGCAGCAGCACCAGCATCAGAAGCAACTTCTCCTCCATCCTCTCAGTTGGTTGAGACAAATGCGCGCGATTGCTGCTAATTACAGAGCAGAGCAGAGAAAAAACAAGGTAGAGTAGCCACAGCCACAGATGGAGCTGAAGCTCGAATCGGAGTGTTTCCAGAGTTGGTATTAACCGACATAAACGCTAAGTGGCGTCATCATTTAAAACGCATCAACACAGCCCGCCAAAGGATATGGATATGGGTATGGATATGGGTTTGGAAATAGAAGGAGCATATAAATCTGGTGGGGCGTCTTTGTGGTTTTGCGGATTGTCATCAAGCCGGCGGCGGCAGTGCGTAAATAATCTTTATAAATATGACCAACGGTAGCTGCAGTGTGCCCAACAGAGATAGCAATACACTAAGAGAAGGAGAAAGAGGGATTGAGACAGAGGGAGACTATAAGAAAAACAGGATGCTTTTGATTCGAGTCTGACAATTTGCTGTGTTGTTTTTGCTGCTGCCGCATTTCGATACCCTGTAGCCAAATAGGGTTGTTAATAAATATTAATGGGATAGATAAGCTTCATCTTCTTTCTTTTCGCGCGAATCTCGAATCCCACCTACCACCCAACCCACCCAATAACGAATACAAACTAAGACTATCTACTTGCCTAAGAGTTTAGCATATATGAATTTATACGTTGAACAGAAGATTTCGAGCAGAATACACTGTAAAAACATACAACCTATATAAATAATAAATTTTTAATATATTTATATATGTATATTACTAAAGAATTAAATGCAGAGCACTTAAAAGTCGCGCTTTCTTAATCATTATTAAGAGTCGAGTCGTTATATTCCTGTCCATCCGTCCTCCTGTTTCAATGCAAATAAGTCCCTTAGTTAACCTACGTTGGTAAGACTTGGCACAGCTACGCCTATTTTTATGCAGTAAATATGTATATACTTATGTCAAAGGCGCTCGGCTCAGTCCACGATTTCATATAGTTTTCAATGTCGATCAAATATTTCATTTTAGTATGAGAAACTTTAAGTTGTTTTATATTTCTTATTCAGCCTCATAAATAATGATATTTACCATGTGCTCTGAATATCCAAAAAATCTCTTCATAGAAACAAACCGCCCTATATTGGGATTTATTAAAAATCTGGAATACATCAGCAAGAGTATTTAATATTCGGCAGCCGGTAAATAACTGTTCTTTCTTCTTTCGCCTAAAGACCCAAGAGCCAGATTTCTTTTTGCAGCTTAATTGTTTTAGCAGTCCCTCTTTTTCCCTGTCGCTTTCCCACTCTCTCTCTCTCTTTCTCTCTCTCTGTGTGCTGCTGCCTTCCCCTGAAATCTGTGTCCGTCTGTGCATCAGTTTATACGAGGCAACTGTCCGAGCTGTCCGTAACAGTTGATGTGCTTTGAGGCAGCGGCGTCTTCTAATGCGTTTTTAATAATACACGCCCGTCTTGTGCGGCACAGCCACATCCACAGACACAGCCACATCCACAGCCTCATCTACAGCCTGGAAGACACATGTATATACGTATATGTATATGCGTATGTGTGGGTATATATATCTCATACATTATATACATGTTGTATCTAGCCATTCATTTGATTGTCGGGCTGCATTACAGTTTTGTGTTTTGATAAGTTGGCAGCGATTATTTTACCATTTCCTTGGCCAAGACCTGGCCAGACAGCAGCTGACCCCAGCTTGGCCAGCTTGCCTCTTGGCTAGTTGAGTTTTGGCCAATTTGCTGTGGACCCCTGGCAGATAATTGCTTAATAAAGCCGGAGGATGCTGCTTAAATTATATCTAGCTTTTGCTAGCAACAATTTTATTGCGCATACGCCAGATGGGCGTTTTAGCAAGCTCTCTCTCTCTCTTTCGCTCTCTCTCTCGTTTTCTCTCTTTCGCTCGCTGCCTGTTGCTTTTGTTGCTTTTGAATCAATGTCTTTAGTTAGCAAAGTTTTAGTTAATTAAACCACCTTTAAGCCGCCTGCAAATGTGTGTCAACGGTTGCTGCTAAACTGTTGCAAATGTGGAACAGCAGCAGCAGCAACAGCTGTATGTGCGTGCGAGCGAGATGGCGGCATATGCATGAACTGCGCTGCGTGACAAAACGCCATTTTCTAATGATAATATGTGACCCATAATAAACAACAACAACAACAACAGCAAAAAGTAAAACTTCATGAGCAATTGAAACGGGCAACAGGTAACAAATACCTGAGCTATTAAAACTAAATATGCAGCACCCCCCAAAAGGCAACCTCCCTTCACATTGTTGCCGCTCCCTCCCCGTCCAGCAGTGGCTCAAAAATATGCACGGAAATGCACAATTGTGCAGCTGGGCAATTAGCTGCACTTCGCCCATTCGCCGGAAGACAAAAAAAAACGAAAACAAAAACAAAACAAGTTTTTGGCTTGCATTCAAATTGCACGGAGACACACGACTGGTCTGAGTCCTTGTTGTGGTGTCCTGCCGTACGCCTTGCGTATACGTAATGCAGCTGCATTGTGCCCTGTGCAGTGCGGCCTGTCTATGTGGCAACTGCAATGTGCAGTATTTTGCATATGATTTAGGTGTGTTTCAGAGTTTGCGTAAGTATTTAGAAGGAGGAACTTGCAAGTGGCGCCATCTATTGTTCAGCGGCAGCGGTAGTTAATATAGTGAAATCAATTAGATTGTGCTTTAAATAAAGGATGTACTTTAGATAACAGAACTAAATAAATTATTGTTCTGCAAAATACAATCAACAATAGCTACAACATACTAAGTTCACTAACTTTTTGAAGGCGAGTCGAGTTTAATGAAGCCATATTGATTTATTTGACATACGATTTGTAAATCTGTTTCATAGTGGCTTCTAAGACATACTAGATCCTATATGTCGCAGTACCTAGCACCTAATCATTGTAAGTGATGTTTTGAATCATATGTCGAAGTTAGGATTATTGTTGCTCTACTGTTTTACGACGCCCGAAGTCTTTCAACTGTAAGACGAGTTTTTGCATCGAACTGTCCGCAAGTTATTTGCAAGCTTGTAGTCGATATCTTGCGAATGATAGAATCAAAGAGCTCTTATCCAGCTAACGTAAAAGGTAATTTTACAGTGAATATTAATGGAAATATATATAAATCTCTCATACACAAAAATGCAAAAGTATGTAGTTTCATAAAATGGCTACATTGATAATATTGATTTTGTATGGAATAAGAAACTGCTAAAATCTATAAATACTGGTGCGTTACAAACAGAAAAGAGGCAATTCTTAAAACGTATTTTAACGTTATATTTGACTGTGTTCCTTTTACTGTGAGACACTCTTTATAAGTGTAAAGCTATGCCATTTTTGGGGGTGGGGCTGGTTACGGCTAACAGTTTTAGACTTTGACATTGAATTGTGTAGTGCAACCAAAAACAAAAAAAAAACATAAAACTTGCATAAAGCGCATGTTGCACAATTGCGTGCCTCCGACTCTTTTTAAGCCCCCTTCTACACGAACCCTCAGTTGGGGTACTGTCTGCCCCCTGGTCTAGGTTTGGCTGGGTGAGCTATGTGTGCATTAAATTAAACTGTCATGAGTGTGACAAGTGCATATGTTCGCGCCTGGCCACATGCAGCAACTGCGGCCCACAAAAGTGCTTTAATTCAGCAAAAACATGCAACTTGCAACATGTGAGTGCGACTATGTATGTGTGTGTGTGTGTGTGTGAGACAATTTAATTGAAGTTTGACCAACTCAGCGCGTGGCACATAAACTTGAAATGCATAATTTGAGTTGGCTGTGGCTTGGCTTGGAGTTTGCTTAACTGGCCGAAATTAATTATAAATATTATGGTAACACATGTCCAAGCGCCAATTACACATTGATCAACTGCACACGGCCAACAGCAGCGAAAACAACAACGATATCTTTACTAATTGCATCAATTGTTTAACAATTTTTCACTTTTACACACATAGAAGAAACGCATAAGCACGTGAATTCACAAATCGAAGAGCTGTAAACTTTGCGTGTCTCCTAAAAACATTTATCAATATGTATACGGTTATGTGAAGATATTAATACTATGCAACCCTGCCCCTGCCATCTGTCTCAACGAGCGCTGATTGATTATGCGCCTGACTGGCGCGGCATATCCTGGCGATGAAGCCATCAAATGGCCAAACAAATTGATGAAGACAAATTAAGCTAACCAACGATGGGCCAAGGGAGGGACGTTGCAGGCAAGGTAAGTTGGTGGGGGTGGGGGTTAAAGTTGCGACTCACCTGCAGGAACATATCACCATCCAGCAGGCCATGTTCGAAGGCGCCCAACTCGCGCGTCCTGTAGCCATCATGTGCGTGTATGTGCGGCAGGACACCGTTCTCCTCCTTATCCTTATGCATAACAACTGCAAAGAGAAAAAGAGAGAGGGAGTTTGTGAGCGAGACAGTGTTAGAGCGAGTTAGTTGTACAGCTTAAATATTTATGAGCTCGAAATTTTTATATGTTATTAGCCATTAATATTTTAGACGTATTGCTGCACCATAAATAAACTCGCTCGAAAGCGTTTTACAGCACCCCCCACATGCTTCCCTCTATAAAGCCTACCAATTTGAAACCATAGTTACTTCATAAAAATCCAATATAGCTATGTATATATACTATATAGTAGACCATAATGTACAATAAATATTTACAGCTGGCATGGAAAAGTACTAAAAATTGTTTATGGTGTCATTGTAATATTTTATGAGTCCCGCCCCACTCCTCCCCCAAAAGCCCTAGCTAGAGTCTGGCACAAGCTTTCATTCTCATACTATATTACACCCCTCCACAAACACATAGACAAACACACACACACATGCACTCCATACAAACACCCTTGCGCCAGGACGCCGCCATTTTTGAAGCAATATTTTTGGGTTTTCCTCCTGGGCGTTAGGGGATTCCTTCCATATATTTTCTTCTGCGCCTCAAGTTTTATAATAAATTTGTCACAAAAATTGATTTATGCGCGACAAACGATAAAAACAAAAAAAAATGAAAGAGAACAAACAAAACTAGAGCTAATATATTTCCACAGCTCTAGGGCTGAGTTTTGTCTGGTCTTGGGACAAATTTTATAAGCAAATTTATATGCGACTTGAAATAAAATATGCCACGGCAGCTTGTGTCATAAATTATGATTTTTATCAGCGCAAATGGAAATAATAAAAATGAGAGTGAAATGAAAATAAAAAACAAAAACCAAAAACCAGCAAACTATATGAAGAAATGAATAAAAACTAAAACCTAATTTACGCATGGCAAAGCCCTCAACTAACTGCAAGTCCAAAGGCCCAGCAACCCTTGGGCAACAACCACAAGAACAATAGGAACTACAACAAGGACTACAGCAACCACAGCCCAGTCACAGGGTCTCTCATTTCAATTAGCAGCTCCAAAACTCTGGCCTACCCCTAGCACTACAGCTACACTGAGCAAAATGAGTTAGATTCCCACACTTTTCTATCCACAAGCTCAGTCGAACCACAGTTCTTTGTTCCACTATTACTATTTTACAAACAAGCAAAACCTCTTGTGAAGTTTGTTAACTTTTTGGGTTCTTTGCTTTTTCACTTAAAGCAATAATCTGAAAATCTATTCTATTTGTATTTCTTTTAATTAGAATTCTGAGGGAGGGTGAAATGGAGGGTGACTTGGAAATGGGTAATTTAAGATGAATTTAACATCCCTCGCCTCTAGTACACAGTCAGTGTAAAATCAGTTTGCTATAATTCACAATCAGTTTAAGCTAGCTTGATAAGTATATGTGGGCAAAAACTATATTTGTATTTTATATTATTTAAGGGGAATGCTAGCTAATTTTTCTTAGTGTACTGTGGCTTGGCCTATCCCTGAGTTAGCTTGCTTGGGCTCTCTTCTAGCTAATCTGTGCGCTGGCTTAGCTTTTTATCAAATTAACAAAAGTGCCTGAGTGTAAGTGTGTGTGTGTGTGTGTGTGTGTGAGTGTGTCTGTGTGTGTGTGTGTGTGTGTGTGTGAGTGTGTCTGTGTGTGTGTGTGCCGGTGTGTTAGAGTGTTCATTTTAGCAAAAGTGCGATAAAACAAATAGTTGAGCCTCCTGGCTGGCCAGCCACGTAATGTGGCCAAAACAAATTGCATCATGTGCGTGCGATGCCCGAAAAGGCTTTTAGAGCAACATTTTGTGGTAATTATTCATAATTTAATTAGGCTCAGTTTACATTGCGACTTGTACTTCTTATTATTACAGTTACATACATTTTTTATTTTATTTTCTTGGCTTTTTTATTGTTGCGGTAAAATTATTCACGTGCATAAACACATTTAATTAGGCTCGACTTTAGCTGGGGGCAGTGGTTGGGCGGTTAGGGGCTAGGGTAGGGGCTGGTGGTTGGGGGTTGGTAACAAATCTGCCGCAATTTCTGGGCGTGCTTGGGTTTACTTTATTGCAAGCTGCTTAGCATAAACCAAATTTACGACATGGTTTAAAGCGCGTTCATGCTAATTGGAAACTGCTTGAGTGGCCCTCGCGTTACAGCTCAGAAAATGCGCCATTTCACGTGCAACATAAACCAAAATCCACCACCAGCGACCACGATGCGGTCGGTTCGCTTTACCCCCTCGCCGTCGCTTTGGTGGATGAACGTAAATCTTGTAAAGGCGGAAAAGCGCAAAATCTCAGCTAGTTGCATGCGGGCGCAGGGGCGGGATCGCAGGGTACACACATAAAAATGGCGTCGACTAACCCGAAAACCCCACCCAGCACAATGTGAAGCAGCAAACAGAAGAAGGTCGGAAAACCAACGTCGGAAAAGCGTGCGCGCAGACGGGCTGCAAGATACAGAGCAGCGACGCCGACAGCGCAGCCAGCTGCGACGCCTGCTGCAAAATGGCGTCAATTATGCGCTGGGCGTTCGGTGGTTGGGGCTGCGATTGGGGCGTGTCCCTTGGCACGGCATGGCGCAAACAATGAATAAAGTTTAAATTCTGACATTTTGGCAAATATTTTTCGTGCTCATAAACAAATATGTCATGGAAATGTCAAACTCATCAGCCCAATTGATTGAAATACTGACAGCACTAAAATGTTAGCCATTGTCAGGGGTGACGAGAGGCGCGCTTCGGGGGGTAAAGGGGGGAGGAGAGCTTATTAAGGAAAGAGATAAAGAAATGTTGAAGGTATATTGTAATTATGACTAGAATAAGCGTTGATAACTAGACAAAGCTCTTCCGAATATGTATTCGATTCTAATAAAATTGTGAGCTTAGGTTAAAGGCAGTGCCCATAAATGTAAAAAAAGCTGCTACACACCCACTTTAAGTATAAATAGACATAAATATCAAAACTACGCAGAGATTTCAGGTACCTAACGTTTCATTGTAAATAGTGAGATAAAGCTCTTAAAAATGTGAAGAACTTTTCTTTTCTCAAACTCAGTACATATAAAATATTGAGGTTGGGTTACAAAAAGTTTGTAAAAGACAGATAATATTACAAAATTACTATTTAACTATCCTGATCGCAGACACTTGACAATATAATAAGAATATAATAATAATAATAAAAATAATTAACAAAATCATTGAAAAAATGAAGAGCTGTGCCATAAATACGATTATTCTAAATTTAAGTTAGGTATTTGCGACATTTCCCCTTATTGATTTAGTTACATGAAAATTAGAACTTACTTCTTTCAGGTCTTTAAACGCTTTTTGGCCCGCTTTAAATTGAACTAGGCCTTTAGATAAGATACCTGTTGTTGTTGGATGCGGGGGGTAGAGAGGGTTCCATTCGACCTACGTAAGTCACGCAATGTTGTCTGCCGCATTCTCGCGCTGGGCACAACTCTTTACCAAAACCCAACACGGCTGAGCGGCGTGACAATACGAGGCGTCTGGCAACAACAACATCAGCAAAAACAACAGCTGACAACAACAATAGGCACTACCTTGCACGAGGTAGGACAGTTGTAGTTAAAGTGCATCGCCTGACTGATTGCATGTCCGCCTGCGCCTCGGCGTTTTCGAGCCATTGTCTGGGTATAGATTCCGCAAGCCCGGAGACCAACCCCCCTTGCCCACTATGCCACTACGCCACTGCCCCCATGCCCCTGTCCCCAGCCCACTACTACTAATGGGCCTAAACTGGAGCAACGCACGAAAGTCATGTAAATGCTCGAAAAATTGGCGAGTCTCGGAGCTCAGTATGTTTATAGGTTAAGAGCTGAGCCTTGGCCCCTTGGGCCGTGCGATTCGCATAGCACATGGCCATGGGCTCCATTAACAAACGCTTAGCGGCAATTTTGATAATAGCATAACTGCCTGGCCCAATCCCCCAGACCCACTCCCAAACATATATTAGCCGGGCGAAGTGACCTTGTTAAAATAAGCTGGATGGTGGGGGTGGGGGTGTCCACGCAAACTGATCCCAAGCTCATGTGTCGCATTTGCAGCAACTTGAAATATACTCAGAGTTGCCACACGGCGGCAATTGCAGTTCGCTTCCCACGAGGCCAGAGCCCAAAGAGAACTAGATCTCAATAACCAGTCGTAGTACCAACATGATTTGCTGCCTCGCAGTCTGAATAAAAATATCTTTCATATTTTAATCATGTGTGGGAACTCTGGTTGGCAACCGACGTTCCGGCGTTCCCACTACCAAGCTCCAATTACCAAAAGCGGCAAAAGTCAACTGCGAGTCATTCGCAACCGGCTCCATTGTTCGTATATATTCTGATCTATATGCATTTGGTTAATTTACTGGAATTAATCAATAAATTATGAAATTAATATATATTTTGTGTGGGCGACCGCCAACAGGTAATCGTCTTGTGTTTTGCGAGAGGACTCGTATTTGCAAAAGAGTTGTCTTATAACTGAAGTGCATTTAAATGTTCAATTTAGGTCTGTTTGTACGTAAGCACCCGATTGCTTGATAAATGGAACTAATCCAAATCTTCCATTTCCATAGCACTTTATTAAGACCTGGGTCTAAGCTGAAATCAACTCTTGACTAGACTATTAAGTATTTGGGTAGGTGGACTTAAATTCATAGTGATGCTTAGGATATCTGGGACATATCCGTTTGTTGCATTACCGCAAAATTCCACTAGCGAAATATTTAAATGATACTTTTCTATTTAAATGTTCCATTTATACAATGTTCTACGTAGACACATTGTTCTTAAGATAGATTTACAACTGACTTTCTTTGAAATGAATTAACATTAGTTTATGAAATTTGGAACACACCGCACCATGCGAATTTCTGATTGGAGTCTGAGTTGGCACTCCTTTTGCTTATTGGGCAATTAAATTGCTTACTTTGGGAACGGGTTTAGGTTGGGGTTGGGGTTTGTTTAGAGGTTTTGCTCGATTGCGTGCAATCGCCATTTGGAGTGATTAAACAAAACTATCAATGAGAGCATTTTAGTTCATTTTGCAGTTAATTACGCAAGTCATCAATTAGGCAGGCTGGGGCAGGGGCCCAGCCCCTTGGCAGGACCAAAGAGTCATAACGAGTACATTAAAAATGTACGAATTACGCGTCTTAACAATTATTCCTGGCTATAAGGCGCCAATGCTTGGCCTGCAATTATGGCGTGGGTGGTACGGGTCAGGAGCTGGGGTCAGGCCAAGACAATGGGCCATTAGCAGCGCGCTTTAATTATTTAGTTGTTGTTTTTCTTTTTGTTCGAGTAGAGTGTCTATGTATATGGAAAAGCAGCTTTGAAAGCCTGGCGAAAATGAAAACGAACTTTGCTTTTCTTCCATTGCAGCTTTTTTTGCCCGCCTGTTTGCTTTTTTTTCCTGGTATAGAGAACATTTGTTCGCCGTTTCGCTTTTGCGCAAGTCAGGGTCAACAACTGCCCCTATATAGATGCAGGACGCTGATGTTGTTGCTGTTGTTGTAAGTGTCTGCCGAGCAACCCCCTAGTGGGCCATTTAATGTGTATATACATACGTAAATACTGGCACATAAGCATAGAACAGAGCTTTATATAGAGCTCTCTATATAAATATATATTGGATATCTAAACCTATTGGCTGCTTAAATTAATTGCATTGAGTGCTTAAGTTTTGGAAATCCCACAAGCTGTGACACACACTAACGCTAACTCCCACACAGTCACATACACACACACACACACACCCGCTCCTGCAGTCTACCCTCTACACCCACTAATTGTAAATTAAATGATCCTGATAATATCCGAAAAACATCTAGACAAACAAATAAAGCCAAAACGTAAACAAACTTTGACCTGTGCCGCGACGTTTTGTCAAACCCTCGCCCTCCGCTCCCAGGGAAAACATTAGATGGACAGAGACATGTATATAGCTGACAGGACACTGGGCACTCACGGGGGCACACGGCGCAACGGTTCTGGTCCATTAACCCGTCGTCGTCCTTTTTGGTTCGTGCAAAATGCGCAAAGGAAACGCAGCGCGTGTCTGTTTTTAAAGCGAGTGGTTGTTGGTCTCTAATCAAAGGAAACTTAGGATCGTATATTGACTTAGCACAATGCAACGGGCACGTGTCGACGAAGACTTGAACTGGCCAGCAACTGTTTGCGATTGCAATTAACGCCCAACTGCGTTTTGACCGCTAATTGTCAAAATATTTACTCGAGTATTTGCCGTAGTTTGTTTGTGTTCTGGCACATGAAGAGCCCAGCCCATAAGCTGGACACACGTGAGTCACAAATACCGCACAAAGAGTCCTCTAATAGTCCTTTGGTTGCTGTCCCTCCGCATTTCTTTCAATTTTCGCTACAATTTTTGCACTTAAACTTAATTAACGTTGTGTGCGGGCACTTCATCTTCCTTATATACAAATAAACAACCCCCTACCTCCCCTATCTCCCCCTCCCCTTGATCCGAAGCAATTAAATTTATGTCGTTAAACAAAGCGAAATGCCAATGAACCAAGTCGATAATAAAGCCATCAAAGCGAGCAAGTTCGTTCTCCTTTTATTGCATTGTTTTAATTAATTTAAATTAGACGCAAAAAACATCGAAATATTTATGCCAAAAAGTGAAGAGAAAGGAAAAATAACAACAAAACCAACCCCTACACTAAGAGGAATATGGGTGTGTGTGTGTCTTCGCATTTGTGTACATATGTTTCCTCACTCGTCTGATTCGATTTACCCTGCCCAAAAATTTTACCACATTTCCATTTCCTATTCGCTTGGGGCTCACCTTTTATTCATTTGCCAGGCGGACCAGAAAAGCAAAAAACTAACAAAACTAAAAACAAGAAGCACAAGATAGGAAGAAACTGACCGTACAACTATGCGAAGTTTTGATACTCTTGAAAGCAATCTTTATCCCTAAGAAAATGATTGTCCTAGCGATCGAGTAGCTGAGACTATAAAAGAACGGGGATGCATAATGGGTTCAAAGCTTGAAATTGTGGTGTCTTAGTCGAGGACAGGTTGATAGCTTATAAATAAACTTAAAAGCTAAGATGGAAAACATTAAAATTGTATGAACTTCAATCTTTTATACTGTCTATATGCTTATGACATTGTTGTCACTTTACTTAATACTATTTACATTATATAAAACAAAGAAATATAGATAACCTAGAATTCATTATAAATCTGTCAAACGTGCTATTCCCGTCTCGTTTATCTCCCGTTCCACCTACGGCATCCGTTTTACTATTTCGTACTATTTAGTATATTCATGTTCTGCACTAACAATTGAATACAATTTTTAATTAGTTAATACTTTAACGACAAAACATTTTAAATAATTAAAATAACAGTTTAAAATTAAGCTTGATAAATAGGCAGATAAAACATTTACTAAAAATAATCTATACCTATAAAAGTAATAGATTTACAGGGTAAGGGTAAATATATATATATATCTGTTTTATGTACAGTGCTTTGCTGGACTAATAATACACCCTGAGCTAAGAGTATCAATTGAGAAGAAGACAAACTAAATTGTGAGTTTCTTCTGTTTCTTTTGTTTTCCTGGTACGACTTTAATCCGTCAACAGGACTAATTTCGCCACGTGCGTGTGTTATTCCCGACAGTGTGTGTGTGTGTGCGTATCCCTCAGCTGGGACCAATACTAGAGCACAGACAGAGAGGAGCAGGACGCCCCGTAGCGGCGTTGAAATTAGTTTTGAATCATTTATGAGTCATGTTTAGGGTCTGCCACCATTCAGTGGCAGTTACAATGTGGCAGCAACTCTCTGGCAATGGCAGCATAATCGATTTAATAGGCCGGAATGTAACGCGCCGTATGGCAAAAAGGCGAAGGCGAAACCATTGCCCAAACGCTCCTGAGAGGCCAGCCATATGGGATGGGTCCGATATAGAAGTCTGGAGGTGGGGTTCAGCTTTCACCTTTGCCCAAGTCCGTGCGGGTGCGTTTTAAGTTTTTCCGAGTTTACCAACCACCCGCCAACTGGCAAGGGGCGGGGCGCTCATAATGTCCATTAAAAATATGGCCCGTACTCACCTTGAAAATAACTTTTGGTTCTTAAATAACTAACGGACAGCCTTAGTATGCTCAGTCGATCCAGTTTGCTAAGTATATTCTGCTCGAAGGGCAGCAGCGAGGCAAGCAGATCCAGTTCGGCATTGAGGCGCTCCCGATGCCGTTTTGATGGATTGCTCTTAGTGACGCCATCCTTGGGCGGCGGCTTCAGGCTGCAGAAATAGATGAGAGTGAAAACGAAAATAAATTTCATGCATTTAAACGTCGAGTCAAGCTTCAAAACGCAGCTGACGGCGTGAGCTAGGAAAACAAAACAACAACAGAAAAGGTCAAAATTATTAATTGCAGTTATCAGTTACCCCTGGATAATAGGGCTGGCTAAGCCAGTGAACCACCCTCAACAGCAACAGAGTAGGGTTCGGGGTAGCACCTCTTTGTGGCTACTCGATTAGCCATGGCCACTTGATCTGTTAATTACAACAGCAGCCCCGAAAATGGACTTGAATTATAATTGTTGTTCTGTTTCCGCGAATCAAATCATAAAGTCCACCACAAATTAGAACACAACAATCTGTATGTCCAATTAAATGTCATAAAAAACGCGGTCGAGAATCCCAGCCAAAGCCATTGTAAATCTAAATGCTGCATGTGATATGATACCAAGCTGGCGCCCGAGCAGGGACAAAGACGCAGCTGTTGCGGTTCGCCAATAAAGCTCATAAATGCAAAAAGTGCTCGAGTCTTTTATGATAGCTGTCTGCTCGACAGCTCTCCGCTCCTTGACCATCCACCTCACTTAAATCCGCATTATCTTAGCCATAAGCGTCTAAAGTCGAGCGATTTGCCATTTGGGTGAGGATTTACATAGCTTGAAAGCATTCTGTACATTTTTTCCTTTGTCTCTTGTTTATTCTCTTATTGCTTTTTGTTATGTGTTTTTTAGCTCGTTTTTTGTGTTTTGTTTTTAATCATATTTTGTCTCATCATTTTCATTGACATTATTACAAAGTTAATTGCGGTTATTAAATATAATTACTGTTGTAATTTACGAGCGACCCCTTTCAGGGCCAACGCCAACCCACATAACCCGCTGCCCTGTCTACCCTACCTCCTCTTTGTTTGCTCTTTAAAAATTTGTCGTTTTTTCTGTATATCGTAAGTACATTGAATATTTTCATTGTTTTACGCTGATGTTTTAGTTTTTCAAAACTTTTTGCTTCGCTGCACACACATCAGCACACACATACACACTAAAATATTGAGTACACACACTCACTTAAACTGAGCACTCGGGCAAGTGGCACAGGACTAGCACAGGACATTGTCGCGTTTGTACGTAAAAAGTTGAAACGTATTTAAGTTAATTGCCCGACATTTTTTTGCCTCTGCTACAGTTTGGCACTTTTTTTGAGCTGCTTTTCCACGTAATTGTCAGTGGCATGTCCGTTCGATGTCAGCGCCAGGACGACATGTTCCTCAAATTGTTAAAGGACCGCTCTAATCCCCAGCTGCAGCTGGTGCAGGACCCTGCTCGGACGCCAGCTTTGACAGCCGCCGCTGAGGTGTGTGCCCCAAGTGCTTGGGAATGCAATACTGTCGCCAAAGATAATGATGATGATTCATTCATTCATAGCTAAGCTAGAAAATCCTGAGGTCTGGGGTCTGGACTGAATACTTGAAATAATCCAAATGCCAAGTAAATTAAATACGATTTCCAGTCAAGTCAATTATGCAGCATAAAAGAAATCGTTTAATCTTTTCCAAGTTCTTGGCTGCTCGGGTGCCCACCCTAGTTGCAAGTGCCAGCTCGGGCGCCTATCGGAATGGCAAGCCCCTGATCGGGCCCAATGATATTCCAAATAAAATCCTAGTAAAAAGACTTTCAGTCCTAGAACATGTTTAGCCAATTGCAAATTATTATTCGCTGGTCGGGCATCCCGCCAAATTGCACGTCCAGCCAAATTGCTGCTCGGGCGCCTTCAATGCTAAACTGTCAAACATTTTTTTTTTATATTTTTGCATTTATACAAACGAATGATGATAAAAATGATTCATTTTTAGGCATTGGAATGCCAAATTCAAAAATACAAATCCATAAAACACCGCAAATGCCAAATAAACGTTAATTTATTTAATTAAATGTGAACCTCAAAGTTTTGAGCCAATTACGAAGTAGGCAGAACGCAAACGGCGAACAAAAAACGCTAAATTTAGAAAATTATTAGTGTCTGGCGGTAAGGTACGAATACGAAGCAGACGAAACTGCGGATAAACGACAAATCGCTGAAGGAGTGGGTGATTATATAGATGCCTATATAGCATAAGTATGATCGCAGATGATGATAAAACCGTTAGACGCATTGGAATGCAATTTGAATTCAAGACAGCTTGAAGTCAAGGCTGCAAATTATGAGAGCGAATGAAAGGATATAATACTAAATAACTTAACAGCAAATTAAGGACTACTCCAAATTGGGGGCATTGCGGCATTCGCCTGCAACGCGGCCGTTGAATAAAATGTATAATTTTCTTATTATCTATAAGAAGGCAACGGGACTGCAAAACTAAGCGGCAGCAGAAGAAACCGCACGAAGAGCTGCAGAGAAACGTGGAAGGCTTGTAATAAAATGAATTCCATAAACAACTTTCCCAAACAAAAAAAAAAGACAAATAATAATAATAAAAGAAAAGGAAAACGAACAAAAAAAAAGAGCTTTTGTCTGCTCTGTTTGATGGCTGGGGCAGGGCGAGGTGTGTAGGACATTTTTTGGGGGTAGACCATAAAACGTCGCTGCTGAAAATGGCGTAGAATCCTAGCGAACAAAGGATAACTGCATAGCCAGAGTATGTGTGTGTGTCTGTGTGTGTGTGTGTGCTGGCTACATTTCTTGCAAAAGTTCTAGCCACACAACCCAACCCTTGCCCGACCCCAACCTACCTCCTGCAGCCCATTTTCATTTAGCTTCGCTCATTCCATTTCCCTGCATTATTTTTGCCATTTTCGTTTGGCTGCTTTTCTTTCTGCCAGAGCTCGCATTTTCCCTCATGTAGTTTTCGTTTTTCTTTTTTCTCCTTTTTTTCCCCATTATGAAATGAATTGCTTTTAAAGAAATTACAATGCGGCAGCAACCAGAAATTGCCCCAAGGGCTGCCATTTGGATTTCGATTTCGAAAAAATTGCGACGCCCCCAAAATGAAGGAGGACACAGTGTCCTTTAGCTGCTGCAGTTTCTGTCCAGGCTGTAAAAACGAACCTCAAATTGGGCGCTGCTGAATGCAACTGCAGCAGCTGTTGGTGTTGCAGTTGTTGCTGTTGTTGCTGTTGCATGGGTGTCAAGGGTCGACAGCACTGGGGCTTTGGGTTAGCCGGCGTCAAGCGTCAGCCAATTGTTGTTTTTGTTTCAGCTGATGTGTTTATAAACAAATGACACGCAATCCTTTGGGGTGTGGGCGTGGCAATGTGGGTGTGCGACGTGTGTGTGTGCCGGCACGTGAGCTCAACTCGTTTCAGTTATTTTGCATGCGCCGAGCATTACGCATACGCAGCGTTGATCTTTTTTGCATGCTCAATTTGGCGCCAAAAATCTCGGCTTACAGCCCACACACACACACACACACACACACACGCAACCTGCTAATTCATTCATACATGATATAGTGCGCTCTCTTTTTTACTTAGCTAGCCGTCTCTATGCGTGTGCCCCATTGTGCTGCGTGCCGCAAAACTGCAGCAGCGGCCACGGCAGCGGTTGTTGCCGCTTCTGCCTCCGCCGTCTGGCAGCTAAAAACGCAAAGTAGCGTGTCTCATGTCCGAAAAAAATTTAACTCGAGTCGCGTAGGCGTCGACGCAACAATTACAACAACAATAACAACTGATACTACAACAACAGCAACAACAACAACGCGGCCACTTTTACTGCATGGCACAATTTTTGCAAACTAATTTAATTTTGCATGTTGTTCTTCTTTATGTTTTTCAAGTGCATGTTGCTCATTAAAAACTTGCAAAGGGCATTTGCAACTGTGCAACACGTTGAAAGCCAATCTCGGCTGCTTTGGCTGTAAGTTCCTTTCATATTGTGCCATATTTGATCTTAATTTATAAATAGATTTTTGATCAGCATCAACAGCGGACTCAATATGGCCATTTGAATGCAACCTTGGTTTTCAGCTTGGAAAATATCTTTATAAAACTTGACACAGTTCCGTATTTTGGGTATATATCCCACATTTGCTAAGCCTCTGCATGGGCGTTTAGACTTTGCCAAATCGAAAAACTCTACTTTCTTGTGATATGTTAAAGACATGCGTCTCCATCATGTGCGTGACCCTAGAATCAAACAATCGCATTTGCACAATTCAAAGTTAATTTTTAAACTAGATACTTACAATGTTTTTATTGGATATTTGATCAATCAAATAATTTTTAAACATCCCAAGATAAGTTCCGAGTTCCTGCTTATACATCAATTAAGATTCATATTCAGCTAGCATGCAACTAATTGAGTTCAGGGAATAAATTGTTTAACCAACTGCAAAGATGAGTAATTTGGGAAACAATATTTAAGTCTTCTGACTCAACGTTTTCGGCATACTTTGTGTGAAGCAGATACGCGATTCTTTTAAGTCTGCTCTGATTGCAGTTTGTTTGGTATTTCAATGAATGTCACAATTAATTGAATTTGCATGCACAACAACAACAACAGAAACAGAAACAACATCGAATAAGAGTACCAAAAAAATGCCATTCCGCAAAATGTCAAACGGGTGAAAATGTCAAAACAAAAGTTAAGCGCCATTTAAAGAAGCTGTCAGCGAGAAACATAAAATTCAAATTGCTACCGTTGCAGTCGCAGTAGAAGTGGCAGTTGCAGTCACAGTGCCACTTAAAAGGCCAACAACAATAACAACAACAACGACGACGACAACGACAACGGGTGAGACAACACGTTGACTTAATCTATGGATCCACTTAATGGATCTGAGCCAAATTCACGCATAAATTTGCCATTGAGTCGGGTGAGAAAAACGTAGCGCTGAGCTGTTAAATTTAACGAGCAGATCCTTCGCCCTGCTCTCCACGGAGTCGCCCAGCCTCAGCTCATTAATTTTGTCAACCCGAAAACAAAGGCCAAGAATCGCAGTAGCTGCCCAGACGCAGGCGAACTACAAAACGATCGAAGTGAGATTAAAATAAAACGCGAAGAGAATCTGCGGATAGCGCAGAGAGCAGACTGAAGACTGGAACTGTGTCTCCACACACTCAGCTGGTTAGCTGCCAAGTTCAGGACCCTGCGCTAATCGTCCAACTAAACAAAAAAAAGAGGAACAGATCCTCTAGGGTACCCACTTTGGTACCCACTCAATGGCCAAGCGAATTAAGTTGTTAACGCATTATTTGCATATTTCGAATCGGTGGATGCCACATTAAGATGCCTTCATTTGCATATTAATTGTGCAAAACAATTTCAAGAAAACAAAACAACAAAAAATATACAAAATACATTCAAGTGACACTCGAACATGGAGCCGGGCAGCAGACCTGTTGGGAGCTTGTTTTAAGGACTGCCCCTAATGAAGTGATAAATGTTTTAGCGGCAACTTTAAAGTAAATGCTAAAGATGAGCTATCTGGTATTTTAACTATGAGAATTTACAATCAGACAATGCCAAATGTCAAAATACATTTTAAGGAAAGAAGATGCTTATTAGGGGTATGCCCTCCAAGATGCTGGAGCTAATTGATGGAGCTTAATTGTCGATTAGGAGCGAGTTTTATTTTTATTTGGTAAGTTTCCGATCGATAAATATACTGCTTTTAGCTGTTTGTACTATTGGCGCTCTTATATTTTTTATAAAAACGATAAGGAATTTTATAATTCATCACAAAAACCTCTCGGTGCGAATATTTTTTTAAAAAGTTAAAATATGTGAGAAGTGTAAGATATGTTGTTTATTATGGGAGAACGTACAGCCAATATACTTCACATAATTTACATATTTAACATATTTTTAAATGTAAGAAATGTGGATAATGAAATCAATATAAACTACAAATATAAATCATTAATCCAAAAAGTTTTTGTTCCAAATCCAACCTAACTGAGAAAATATGGTTCGGTTCGGGTTCGACTATTTTATGAAAAACTTCAAAAAATTCGAACCTACACTATGAATTATAAAAAGATTTATTTGTATGCTTACTTTCGAAAAAAAAACATAAAACTGTTTGTCCTGACTGACTGACTGACTCATTGGTGATCAACACACAGCCCAAACCAGAAGAGCTAGGAAGCTGAAATTTTCACTGTAGTTACCTTATGTGACAAAGGTGCATGTTAAGGCGGGGTTTCGGGAAATCCCACCCGCAAGTGTGGAAAAATCGCGGCCCCAAACTCATTTTTAAAGATATTCGTTCAAAAGTGCATTCCTCCTTGGTGAAAATATGGGTCAAACATTTGGTGGATGACGTTTCGTGCTCAAATTCATTTGTAAGGATCTATATGAAAAATTATTTGAGAAGTGGTTCACACTTTTCGCAGAATCCAAGCTTCCTCGGTAGAAATGCGATGCAATGATATTTAATTTTTAAGTTGTGTGGTTTCATAAACGAAAGTTTAGTCTTCAGCTTAAAGATTCTCACCGCAAGACTTACATGGGTAGAAAGCGATCATTCCAACACTTGGTTCTTTATTCGATGCAGTTAAAAAATATTTTTAAATAGAAGTGGAGATCAAGATAGGAAGATTTCGATTTTCCACGGACGTATACTTAGTGGAAAGGTGATATATAAAATTTTTAGCACAAAATGTTCCACCGGTAAGGCCGGGAAATACCTGTTAGTATGTTTATATATTTTTAAATATTGGGTAATTAGAACAATCTAAGAAAACGCATTTTGAGGAACTTTTGCTAATGGCTTTTTGTACTTAATGGAGTTTTAAGGAACACCTCTGGCTTTATGTGAGTTTTTATGATCTTAGCAAAAA